ACTCATTTCACTGTTCGTCGGCATTGAGACTCGACATTCGTTCCACGAGAAGTGTTATCTGTTATTTATAAATTCGGTTTCTAATTTTAAATATGTATGCGAGTAAAACTGTTTTATATATTTTGTTTCATGTATCGATATTTTATTCACAAACATAATAAAATAACAAATACTCTATATGACAATACGGGATGGTCAATGATAACAAACGTCGACATAGCCCCCCGAAATCGTAGTGGTTGCTTATTCGGCTATCGTGTAAATAAGTTGCATATATAAATTCTTATTTCTACTCAAATATCCCTCCTTTATTCGAAATGCTGTTTTTTTAAATAATTAATAACCTAATTAATAATTAATTGAATATTTGTACAAAAATCTGAGCTAAAAATAAATAAATTATGCATTATTTTGTGTTTTTTTCTTTTAACTATGGTGGGGAGGATGGTATTATATAAATGTTTCGATATTTTGTTATTAATATCTCTTTATGATTATTTTCTCCAAACATTTTGTATTTGAAGTGTTTTGTTTACTAACCATTATAAAATTACTTCACTCAAGAGCATCGGCGTAACTGGTGGGGGGGGGGGGCTTAGCACCTCTATATGTGTATTTAGCAACCTATAATATTATATACTGTACTTATTTTATTATTTACGTTTTGTTTTTAATGATGAGTTTATACTTTCATTGGATTGTTTATTTTTAATTTTGATTTTCGAGGACAGTTATAATTTATTTTCGACTGCAGTTGCTCCCTGTATGGTTGTTGTGTTGTGTATTATAATTTATTATACCTTGTAGGCGCATCGCGCCTTATATACCCGTACGTTATTATACTGCGAGATTACCATTTCACGCCCTAAACACCCCGAAGTCGTTACCGCTAATCGAACTATTCGCAGGAGCGGCTTAATACATGTTTTTACACATTGCACAGTAACTTATTCATTTTGTTCTCACATATTTAGAAAATTTTACTGTTTTTACGTGTTTTCTTCAGAGTGATTTATGTAAATAGTTTTGTAGTATTAATACATACTTTTTTTATTTTATGTAAATACATATAAATCCGAGCCCTAGTTATTATACATTTAAATTAAAAATATTTTTAGGTACCTATAATAGTCAAAAAATACAAGTTAAAGAAGTACAAACGTATATTATTATCATTATTCAATGAAATTTATTAAAAATTAAATACAAAATTCAAATGTTATAGCTTTTTTAATTATTGACACATTATTATAAATGATACGACAAAATTCATTAAAAAATAAATCCTATATGAATCATATTTCAAAGATATAGGTTCCCGTTTGAATTTTAAAAATTACCCTTTAAATCTCCGCTTTTTAATTAAAAAATAATAATTAATATCAAATTAATTTTAATTATATGATTCAAAACAGTTTTCGCATATATAGGTCATTTTTTCCTAATTTCAATGTATCATGCTGAAATCTACTGACTCATGAAATGTGGAACACCCTGTATCTATAACACAGTTTGTAAATAGTTATTTAACAATAAGCACAAGTGATGGATTAATTTTTTAATAAAATATGTTTAAGAATGTACAAGATAAATATATGTGTCATGTGTGGCATAGGTACATTCGAATGCAATGGCAAGGCTCTCTTCACATCTTTACACCAAATCTGTCCGTTTATTGCTGTATACAATACATTTTTAACAATTAATAAGTTCAATAAATATTCGTTATCTGAATCTCAATCATAAGACATTAGTCAATTATGAAAAAGTTGACTCGTTCCATATTTTAGTAATTGTTTAGCAAATCCGTTAGGTATATAGCTTCAGTATTTCACAAAAATGTGATCTCCGTTCTAAAGAACGTTTTACGTTGCCTTTAATATCGTGATGCGATCTAACCGGATGCATACGACCCTGGCCCTACGAGACCTGAACTCACTACGGTGTGTGATGCACTTCCGTTGCTCTCTATCGGTACATGTTCATGCCTGACCACTTTTTATTCTGTGTAGCCGTCGTGCTAATATAGACACCTTGTTTCTGTGCCACTTATACTAAAGCAATATCATGGTGTACAATTGTCGCAAATGTTGCTCAACGATAATGCCCCTAAAACGCATTGAAAATGCCTAAAGGTCTCCACTGGATTTTGTCAATTTTGGATAAAAAAACGTATGCACGTAATATAAAAATTAAAATAGCGGATGATATATTGAGACTGGACTCTTCAATTTATCCGTGGTGATTGGCAACGAAGTTTTTAAACGACACGACGGCAATAACCATTGACATTTTGTAATAATAATATTTAAAAATAAAAAATATTAATAAAATCTAATGTACCCTTTATTTATGACACAATATCAAGACTGCTCGGGTTTTTCCTTTATCGACACACTAACTAACTGTAGAGACATTTGGATATTGAATATTTAATAATAATTTCCGACAAATTTACGTTTCGTATCGGGATATGAGTATATGACTGTGCGGTACGTGTTCGCAGTCGGATAGTTCGGTTTTCGGTTAAGAAGACGTCTCATCCGCATATATGTGTCGTATCCGTCTTACGAACGTCTAAACATAGCAAAAACTGTTTTGCGAGGGATATACCAATCAGGCTGTACTCCAAGCCAAGCAACCAAATTGTCATACTATTTAGAGCAGAATATTTACTGTGCATCATTATTTTTATTTTTTTTATATCAAAAATACAAGAAAAGTTGTTACTGTTTAAAAATTCATTATTTAAAACTCGAATAACTTTTTTTGTATTTTTCATGTAAAAAAAATAAAAATAATGATATTCTGCTCTAAATAGTATGAAAATTTGGTTGCTTGGCTTGGACTACAGCCTGATTGGTTCTATCCCGCGCAAAACAGTGTTTGCCATGTTTTACATTTGTAAGGGACAACAAATGCGAGTAGCGTTTAAGGGAAGGAATGGACAACTGTATAAAATAAAAACCATCATCAGTCATCAGAATATTATTTGTAACAGGGACTTATGTTGTGATCGGGATGTCCAGTGAGGTGTCGCCGTAGATACTCGCCGCCGCCGACGACTGACAAACGAAGGTATATCGAGAAGCTACTATTACATGCATACGACCCTGGTCGATGGGAGTCCAACATTCACTGCTGATGTTAATATAATAATAAATAAATAAATAATAATATCACTGCGGCGGCGCGCTCTATCGGTACATGTTCATGTGTGTAGCACTGTAGCCACTAGCCGTCGTGTTAATATGGAGACTTTCTTTGTGTGGCAATTGTGTTATGCCACTCATACTAAAGCCATAAGCATCGGCATAACTAAGGGGGAGGGGGTGCTTAGCCCCTCGATGTGTGTATTTAGCCCACCATAATATATATTGTACTTATTTTATTATTTACATTTTGTTTTTAATGATGAGTTTGTACTTTTATTTTATTGTTTATTTTTAATTTTGATTTTAGAGGATAGTTACCCTTACTGTGGTGGGAGTGTGGCCAGTGTGGGGCCCCCAAAGTAATTTTGAAACATAAGTTTTCTAGGACTTAAACTCTTGTAACAATTAAATCCTAGTTACGCCCATGCACAAGAATTCTTCTTTTTAGATTTGTATAAACAACAGTAGGGGATAAATCCGGGATTAACATTTCATAAATTTCCTATAAATGGTCAATTGTAAGTTAAATTTTTAGTAGTTAAGTTTTGAACCATTAAAATATAATTGTGACTTATCTTCAATGACATTACCAATGTCGCGAAGATGTAGAGTAACTTACCTTAAGTTAAAAGTTAATACAACAAAATTACTTTGTAAGTAGTTTATAGTAATTGAATTAACTTTTATTGAAAGTAACATATAATTAATGATTCGAATTTTATGAATTTTTACGAAATTTCAAGTATTTTTTTTTTTGTATCCTTAGGCTTGCAGACATTATTAAATCATTTAAATTTAATATTGAGGAATTAATTAACATCAACATTACGTAAATGTTTAATTTACTAAGAAAAGATTAAACAAACTGATATGATTTATTTCTCATAACTTCTATCATTGAAATTTCAATTTCAACTATTAATCTTATGATTTATTGTTATTTTTTGCGCTACAAGTGGGTAATCACTTGTAATCTCTATGATTATTTTATTTGTAGCCATTCATTAAATAAACCAAATTTACTAAAATACTTGAAATTTCATGAAAATTCATACAATTCTAGTACGATTGTTGAAAAATTCAATAATTTTAATGGAAACTGTAACTAATTGTCATTTAGTCAATTTTGATTTTAGAGCTTTGGTAAAAAGGACCAAATTGACCTAAAAAAATTCGATCTATCTGAATTTGGTATTGAAAACACCTGTTGGCATTTTAAAAAAATGCAAGTTGTATTGCGCATGCGCACACGGAAACATCTAAAAATGTAAAAATCATCAAGAAATGTGTATTTATGTATTCCCTATCTCCTTCCAAAAACCATATATCAATCTGATACCACTGGACAGAATTATTTAGTGTTACCTTTAAAAAGAAACACACTGTATGTAAATAATCTATATGATATGAAGTTTGTTGTGTTTGTTATGAATAAAGATAAGGTCTATGTATTAATAAGTATAAAAAAGGACCTATATCCCATTTACCTCAAAAATGGTCCATGGTGGGACAAAAATACTTTTTTATGTTTAGTAAAAATATACGCATAATTAATAAGAACTAAACTGATAGGAAATTTAGAAACTAGGTACATGTGATTGTACATAACAAAGAACATGTTTTTTCAATAAAATGAAACAATACTTAACCCTCTAAAATACAATGAAAGGTGATGTTGGGTGACATCTTACCCAGTTTCCACTGTGACTAAACATAGATGATAACATATCTGTATTGCTTAATTTATAATTTGTTTTATTTTACGTTCATAAATTATACTATTCATCAATAACAGTTGTCAATGAAAATTAAAAGGTACTGGTATAAACCACTATCGTTGCAATGTCAGTCTCTTAATTTTAATTGTCTCTCGATGCCTTGTACATACTTCTTCGGTAATTTGTGAGCCCTAAATTAAACAATATGGACATAATAATATTGTCAATCTATTATAAATATTAAATTTTATTTTACCTAAGCTCTTCGACTTTCTTTTTCATTGTATCCCGTAATGCTTTTTCCCTAGCAGCTTCACCTTGTTGGTATGTGACGCCTTCCTGGAAAAAGTCTCTTCTCTTCTTGATTCTTTCCAATTCCTTTTCACTAATCTGCTTCAGTAAATTTCTCCTATGTTCATCGATTTTCTAATTTTAAAGACATTAGGTTTTGATCAAAATTGAATTAATTAATAATTTAAATCAAATTCAACGGAATTATACCATTTTAGTTTGTCTATCTAATTCTTTGGTTCTTTCAATATCCTCTACATTGAGTTTAATAATTTTGTCAAACTCTTCTTTTTCTCTTTGTATTTCAAAAGCATAACTTTCTCTTTGTCCTTCAATTTGTTGTCGTCGAGCTTCCTTCAAATCTTCATTTAGTTTTATTTTTCTTATAGCCTCTTCACGTTCCTTCCGTCGCCACTCTCGTTCTACCTACGCGACCACTTAGCATGTTATAAATTTAACATGTTTCTTATAGGTTATTAATGAATTTACTTTGTCTTGTGTTCGGAGTGCGTTTAGCTCATCTTTTGCTGCCTGGAAATCTTGCGTGGCCTTCTGACTCGCTTGAATCTTGGCGATTTCTTTTTCTTTAGACATTTTAAGTTTCTTCATCTCCTCTTCGTATGCCATTTCCCGTTCATTCTTTTTTCGATCATATGCTTGTATCTGCGCATGGAAAATTAAAAAAAATTTAAAAATAAGTAGAATTTTTTTTTGAGTTGGAGAAGGATGAAAACATTAAGACTTAGTAAATACTATTCAATATAATTTAGTTGTAGCAATGAAAAAAAGTATGCAGAAATAACCTAAACTAACTTCGATATACATATTCCTATATTTCTATACAAGTACCTGTAGGATTTCAACTTTGACTAATTCTTTTTCGATTGATTTCAAGTCTTTTAGCTGCGCATTAATTTGTAAAAATTCTTTTCTCATTTCTGCTTGTTTTATCAATTTGTCCTTGTAATCTATCACTTCAGCCCGTTGAGCCTCGATTGCAGCTTCTGTACGAACCCTCGCATCCTAAACGAATAATTGTAACACATACATTGTATAAACGATCATTAATTATACTTCTGAAGCTCTAGCAGCTTCCCATTCTCTGGTGATCTCATTTTCTTTCATCTGTTGCACAATTTCCGTTGCTTGTAATTTTTTTTTAAGCCTGTCAGCTTCTACTGCCTTTTCGTACTCCTTAGCTGCCAATATACGTTGTTGTTCCATGATTTGCTCAGATCTACGTTGTTCTTGCTTCATTTCTTTTCTAGAGCGTATTTTAATAATATTTGTCATTCATAGTATATGTGAATATTAAAAAGTATATTTATCATGATTTTGGATTTTTTTGAACTGATTATTTTAAATAAAGTATACATTATTTCTAATCCTCTTTTAGCTGATGACTCTAGGTGTGCCGTTTCAGAATTTTCAGTAGAATATAAAAAGCTTACCAATAGCCAACTATGTTCAGAGTAACTCACAAAATAGGTACCTCCTAACTTATGATTGTTAGTTGTGCATCACGACTACCTCTTTTTTTAAAAAAAAGTGGCTGTCGATATTTATACCTAATTATATTCAGTTAAGGAGTAGTTTGATAGCTATTCGGCCAACACGAACGGGTATTGAGAACCAGGTTGTTGAATCGATACAAATAAAGTTTTCTAAGTTATATTTTTCAGGCCCTAGAAACGTATTCCTTGCGTTCATAGACAAACACAATTGAACACTATATACCATGGTATGCAACGTTTATTAAATGTTTGTGTAGTAATGATATTATACATTACACTTCGCAGGAGTAGCGGAAGAAGAGTTGAAACAAATTGAATTATTAGGATTTATCTATAAGGTAGGTTATAATACCTATAGTAAATTAAATTAATAATGTCATTTAAAAATGAAGAGATGACTGTTGTTTCTACTTCACTAATCGAACTCGACTGGTTGTCTATGCCAATAATTTATATTATCGTACTATATGTTTCTGTGTTCTGTTTACCTATGCAAATTCAGTAAGTGCGACATAAATGACACGTCAGTAATCTGTAAATCGTTGGTCGTTACAGTTGTAATATATTAACTATACATTTATGCATTATTTTATTTTAATAATCATAATTGTTAATTTAATTTGTAGTTTTGAAAAAGAAGTTAGTCGTTCATTTTAATAATTGATCGCTATTTAAATAACACGGACGAAAACAAGTAGCTACTTACAAGCTCTACTACGTATATGTTATGAACTTTTTAAATTTAATATACCTTACCTTTTTTGGATTGATATTATTACTCTAGTTTATAGTTTCTTAATCACTGTGATACAAAGTATATCAAAAAATTATAAACAAAATCCTAGAATTTATTTTTGAAAAACTTTTTTACCATCAACAGTTGACTAATTCAATTCTTCTCGAGTCATGGCATTTAATAATGTATCCTATTATGTTGTTGAAACAAAACAGTTGGGAAATACTCCTGTAGTGCTGTCTAGTTATATTACTCACTGTATAAGTTCTTTTTCTTCAATTTGTGCACATCGTATTGCATGGCACTTGGTACTCAATATTAACGAATTGCATTGTTTTATTTCGTACTCTTGTTCCTGTCTTAATTCATATGCTCTATTGAGTAAATAGTTTGTCTTTTTGTTTGCGTCTTCATCTAACTATTGAAAATAATACTCATTTAGCCAGGATTATTATAACTTAAAAAGATATAAGCAAAATACAATTATAAAGTAGGTACAAGTAGGGAATAAAAAAATGTTAAAAAGTAAATTATAAGGTAAGGTCAGGGATGGTAAATTTTTCTAACGTTACTTGCCAGCAATTACTTGAATTTTTTCCTTAGTGACATTTTAAATGACAATTTTATGAAAAACGTAGATAAGTATATACAAATAAGAATACAATTGTGGTCTTATTATGTATTATTAAACATAAAATATAATGCAAAAAGTGTTTTAATTGTTTGCGCTCCCACTCCATATTTTCAGGTGACATGGGTGGGAAGCGTGTTATGGATGTGCTATTCCCTGGGTTAAGTAATCACAATACTCATCGACATATGTACTAAACACAACAATTAAAAAAAAAATACTGTAATATACGAAACGATTGAGCATAGAAATTAGAATTGATTTTTTTTTTTGATTTTTTTTTTTTTAGCAAAGGCTTTAACATCTCAGATCATTGGCCTGAAGGTTATTAGTCGCTTTTTGTGGGCACGGTTGGTTTGGAATACGTGTATATGGATCGAGAATATGTGTGGCAGTGGCAGCTATAGTCGGAGCTAGCGACGACGGACGATGTTTGACCTCCGAACACGTTAGTATAGTCACAACACCAGGCCCCCTTTTGTTAGTAATTTATCATTTAAATGATTACAATTTATTACATAGATTAAAATATGTTGCAAATATCGCTGACCTTAGCAAGTTTTGGCCCTTTAGTCTTAAACATATTAAATTTTTGTAAATGTTCTTTCCTCGCTTCGCTTTCTGCCTTAAGCCGTTCTTCATTGGCAATGTGCTGTCGAATAGCCTTTCGCCGTTCCTCTGCAGTCACCACCACGGCAGCATTTTTTAACCGACTGTATGTGTTTTTATCTAGTATCCGTTTGCCCGGTAAAGATTGAATCGATTTACCTAATTTGTCTAGCTTGCAAATTTGCTGTTGTAATTTGTACTGGTCCAAATCACTACGCGGCGGAAGTTTCGTGCTTTCTTCGGTCTTCATAGATTTTGGGTTTTCCTTGTCATCCTTGCGGTCTATTTTGTAAGCTTCACATGGTGTAAGGTATTTTTGCATTTCTATTTTTTTCGAAGGAATCATTTCCACCTTACTCATTTTTTCAGTGCTTCGATGAATAATTATTTATATAATATATAAGTATGTAAACTAAATGCTGGATGAACTGGAAAGCCGATAATATATTATGATTTTCAAAATACTCTATGATAATGTATAAAACTATGTTTTAACAATTAAAAAAGTAGATATATTTTTCGGAGATTGTTCATAAAAAATATAAATTATAAGTTTGTTTAATCGGTCACTATGAGTGCATATCGTAAAATATTAACATTTTGACGTCGTCCAAATGTTCCTATAATATAATAAACGATTGCATAAATACATTAATTCACCGGAAAATTTAGAGCAAATCTAGAAAAGCCTACTAGAAATATTATAGTTGGTAATAATACACTTTTGGTCGAATTCATTAATAGTTATGTAACAATCATTATAATTTATAAGTAACACTTATTATGATTTGTGTATTTTTACTGATCTTCGATTAATACTATTCGGCCGTCAGGATTTCCGTGGTTATCGTTATTTATATGTACTAATTAGTTTTAATCTAGTACTTTTCCCAGCAGAAATGTTTTTTTTTTTTTACCTCTAGGTTTTTTGGGCGCATATGTTTGCATTGCTCTAAGGTTAGGTTAGATTCTGCTAAAGATCTAAATATCTGATGAAATGTCCACTGTTTGACTTGGAACATTATTCGTAACTATTTATTTTAAGTATAGAAATATTGTTTTATATTTTCAGTATTGTTTTTGACCTTATTAACTATAATTTTAAGGAGTCTCTATAATTCATATTTAGATATAGGACGGAGAAACGTATTTGTCTTTCCGGGTTTCAAAGCATTTCTCCATTCCCTTTTTATCGGTTGAAAAATGGCAACATCAATAATTTGACATAGACGTGTGGCGTTTGCAAACAATTATAAGAAACAAATATTGTATACCTCTTACAATAAATTCCTCGCTAAATTATTGCCAATTATTATTTCAGCCCACTTAAATGGCTGCACGACGGCAAAAAGCAAGAAACAAACTAATTATTGTAAGCAGGAATATTAAACCAACCACTTTGTTACTTGAATGCCACAATCCATCTACGTCAGGTATATTCCATATATGTTTGGCCTTATATAGCGTATAGTACTATAGTGGCATCATTTTACTATCTGTAAACGTTAAAAAAAATATATTTTATTAAAACCCTTGTATTTGTGGTGCCTTTAACAAAGATTTTGTCAATCTCTAGATATTTTGTACTTTTCCTCATAATCGTGAGCTATTTTTCCCGGTCCATCTACAAAATGTGTGTCGTTGTAGTTGAAAATATGAGTAAGCTAGAACGTCTTTCAGATCTTGAGAAACATTACTGATGTAATAATTGAATACAATCCTGCAGGATACAGCTGTACGTATTTGTTTTATAATTTCTAAAAAACGTAGAAAAAAATTTTCAAGTCCACAAAGAAAAAATTTAACCAAATCTTTACCGAGCATATAAGTTATACACTTCTAGGGCCTTGTTCATCTAAGTATAATTTAATAAACATTGTACCCCCTCGCACACAGTTTGTAGTTGCCTGGATAGTATGTCTTAGCGAGTGTAATCTTGTTTTTAACTATAGTAGGCACAAGTAATAACTGTATTGTATGTGTGATATAAATTAATTTTATAATATTTTGACACACATTAAAAGAACTGACAGTTAGTTCAATATCATAATACTCATAAAGATTTTAAGGACTTTTAAAGCCTCGAAGACATTGCATATAATAGGTAATCAATTGTATAGAATTAGGAACTTATCATATTTCATACCACACCCATTTCATTTTTACGCAGGTACCTACCATATATTTAGTTTCTCAAACCACACAATGTATCATGTAAGTTACAAATCTCCGTATTTGTTGTTTTTGAGAATAAGTGAAATTGAGCATTCGCATATTGATTATAGATTAACAATTTGACACAAATGTACATTTAATAATAAATAATTTTAGATAATAATCAATGGTAGAAAAATATTTTTAAAATTATATGTTCACAATCAATGAGAGGACTAGTACAATTTAAATTGTAGATAATCCCAATTTGAAATCTATTTGATTAACTAAAATATTACAAGTCAGTAAAAATAAACATAATAGACTACATTTTCAAAATATTGAAATTGTTTTTGATTTTAAAAAAGTTAACAAAGTCTTGTTTCAGAACAAGGAAATATTTATACAGTACATTTATTTTTAATTTTATACAATTTGAAAATATTTATATACAATTTAAATGTCTGTTGCAACATAATATAGTTACTTCGAACTTTTTTGTCTTACTTAGACTTGTAACTCGACTAAAATTATATAATCGTTCTCAAATTAAATATTTGATGAATTATTACACAAGTCTTTATGGCACGTAATTCAAAAGAAAAGTCTATAAAACATGCAACGTGTAAGCACGTCAGCTATTGAAAAAAATTGAAATTATAATATATAAATCACATTACATTACAACGATACAAATTAATATTTAAAATGTCCCATGTAAAGTTTGCAGGGAACATTTTACATTCAATTAAATTATGTTTGCTCTAAGATATATTTTGTAAGTTTGATTTTCAAGACTGAGAATCATTTCCTTCCACATAAGTGTGTGATGGCATCAATGGTTTAAATGCAGACGTAGATGATACTGGAAGTCGTTGTTGTTGAGAAGAATAACTAGTAGAGTTAGTACAAGTTGATCCAGAAAAACTGCTACTATTATGATCTCTGCGTTCTCTGGCCCTGCGGTTTTGAAACCATATTTTAATCTGTCAACAAATAGTACAAATTATAATATATTATTATAAATTGTTTTACGAGAAAAAAACAATTAAATCATACTGTAGAATTATTGTCAAAATATTAATGTTCCCATTATCTGTGTTGGTAAATAGATACATAGAACATCGGCTATTCATATCACATTTCCTACAAATATATGGCAGTTGAACACTGCACCCCACTCGTCTACCATACGGCCTCGACTGCTTTTGCGCCAAAAGCTATACCGTTGCAGACCGGTGAAGAGTTCAGAGTACAAATTGTATTATTTGGTCTGAGAAACATGTCAAATATTATTGGTATAAATATAAACAAGTTAGGAAAGTTCACTTTGCGAGAGTGCTGAATTCTGATACGTATTTTTATACAACGCAATCAATTATAATTCCATATGGAACCTATGTACAGTTTTTTTGTTGTATGGTGCAATAACTACGGACAATAAAGAAATAAATTGATATCGACAATCGTAACTATGCACCGACAACTAACGGGCGGACAGACAAAACGGGAATAATTGTAGTGTGTCTTAAACATATGTTTAGAAACCTAAAATGACAAAAGTATATCGAAGATTCTGAACCAAAATCGTAAGTATTTTCGATTTGTTCGACAGATACATCCAATACGCGAATACACTTTATTTTATTTTATAAGCCTCAAACTTTTTTAAATTTCATTCAGTCAAAAACTTAACTCAGTTAAACATAACATAAACTTTCCTAGCCTTGTCAATGGATAATATATTTTGAGATTATATTTTTTCAGTATCTCATGATCAATAATTCATAATAACCTTTATGAAATGTTTTAAAATTTATTTTGATAGTATAAAAATTATGATCACACGGCGTTTTAGTTAGGCTATTTAGGTACATAATGGTCGGAAGTATTTCTTTTCAGGTATTTAAGCCCGTATGATTTATGAATTAGTCAAATTTTTGTTCTGATTTTTCTATGATCACATTCATTTTATAATGATGTTTTCAATTACAAAATATGTTATTTCTTTAGTAGTTTAGTGCATATTTTCGCATACTAGGTTCTAATCCAAGTGTTGAATATATTGGTTTTACAATGATGTGTTTTTTGTGATTGCCAAATTTATTTGGAGTGTGGATTTCATTCGATCTTTCACATTTAGTAGCAAATATTATATATTATATTACGATAATATTCATTAAGTGTATGCTTCTAAACACATTATACAACAGTGTGGGTTTCTTAGTTAACAATTTTCAACAGATTTTTATATCATAACTTTGGTTTTGGTAAACATTTGTTTACAAATTTCATATAATAACTGAGGTCTCTCGCAATATATTTTTTAATAGATTAAAATGTGAACAGTAGATAACAAACCAATCAAATTCAAGAAAAAAAATTCCTTAACAAATTGTATTTCAATTAAAATATTAACTATTTATCAGTTTATCACTATATTTGTATACAATATGAATCAGCAACAATTATTTTATTTAAATATAATTGATGCCTAATAGGTTAGAGCGTGAATTGGTCGTAATACATTGTTCTTGTCTATTGAATAAAAGTATAATGTTGATTTTTGAGTAAAAGTTAAATGTTTAAATAAAATTAATAATTTAAATCATTCATAACGAATATTTAAAATGTTGGAAATTCGTTTTACTACAAATTATATAATCTATCACAGTTCATTAGGGCGAGTGAGAAAAATATCATACAATTCCTATATTCAATACATATTGTGAAGTTTTTTAAAAAACCTTAAAAAGATAGTGTAGCGTTTGAAAATAAATATTTGGTATTTTTAGCAGGTAGCTGCGTGTTTAATGGTTAACACGAGGACTCAAACAATTATAACCAAAATCTGCATTACGATTTTTAACATGCAAAAAATAACTTTATTACTTGATTGAATACTAATGCCTCATGTATTGTGCAAATCTAAACTTCAGAACAGTATTGAAATGGTACAACAATGAACAAGTTATACAACATAGCATATAAGTGTAATGTGTATACAATGTATACCTAACATTATAACTGCTTCATATGTAAACATTTACCTATACATATAATAAATAAAAGTTATTGAGATAAAAAATTGTTTTTAGATATTGACCGGGTAATATTCTACAGCATTTAGAAAGGAAGTTTAGAGAATATTATTTAAGAATAAATTTTTCTGTGATTTACAAGATAATTAGGAAAAAATATATATATTACGAACAAATTTTGAATACTTACTCAAAACCTGTAGTTTTTGGTAAAGTTGATTTTTTTATTATAACCTTATTCAAAAACGAATATCTGAAGATAGTTCAAAATGCCTCGAAATAAGCTAGGATTTTCTTGCGATCATTCATTTATAAAATATTTTGGGCCTCTTTGTAATATTTATAGACATTTGAAATTTTCGAACTGTTTGTATTTTTTGATTTATATACATGAACATTTTTTTATAAGTGATTAAAAACTTAAAAATTTAATTAACAGTTCTCTATTAGTTTGTCTTGTAGCAATTAAAACATTTTGAAATACATATTAATGATCATACGCAATTGTGTGTGTAATATTATGTGAAGCCATGCTCATTATTTATGAGGGACGAGGGTTTTAATATCAAAACTTGAGATGAAATCTTGAATTATTTTGTAATTATTAGGGCGATAGACTTTTTCAGATTAGAATAGTTTTTCTTCGTAATGAATTATTATTCAATTCAAACTTAGCACATTCATTATAATGACCTGTCAATGATGAGGTACACTCGACACCTAGTATTCAGATAAGCGACTTCCCGGGTTTTTAATTTATAAATATTCACTCTAATTCTAGACTATCATACATCATGAATATTCAGGTACTCCCCTTAGAATAATTGTCTGTCGTAATTAAATGGTTTATCAATGTTTTCAAATGAACGAGATGTCAATTTCTTCCTGTTTACACTATTGTATTGTATTTATGATGGCATTTTTCTTGTTAGTGATATATTTTGAAGTAGGTACTAAAATAATATTATGGTTTATATAGATACTCACTCTACTTTCCGATAGTCGCAATCTGTCAGACAATACGTGTACATCATTAGTTCCTCCTAAATATGCGCTCCGTCTGAATTCATGTTCCAATACCGTAACTTGTTGAGTGGTAAATGGTATCCTTGGATTACGCCCAGGCCTCCGTTTCTGTCTATGTTGTCCATCTTTTTTTTTTATCCCTATACATTCATCACATATAATTAATAATATTATAATACACATATTGAATACAAAATATTTATAATTGCACATAACCTCAAAATAGTAAAAGATACTTAGGTACATCATAGATACGTGTTGGCTTTAAATATTTTAAATGATATACCAAGTATAACCTATAAGTAATATCAAATTTCTTTCGTTTATCGTTGTTCTATATTTTAATTTCTAATGGAAAATAACGAAATGTCTTATTCGACAAACCTACTCTATGTATGAATTGAGGAAAAAACAACTTTTTCATCCCTCAAAAAATGTTGTTACAATTTATTAATATATTCCTTACATATTTTATATTTCTATTTTTTAACGAAGCTCTCCTTCAGTAGTGAGTGTGTTGTACATAAAATAGCTTGATATATGAAGAATTTTGAGTTCTAAATTACTCTACTGTAAATAAATATATGTTTTTCTTCATTCATACCTAATCTAAATATTCCACATAGTCGCTCATAATACAATACAATACACTAAACCATACGAAATTATATCTAGGCTCGATGTTTATAGATAGGCATTATTGACAATATTGTGTTGTAAATCTATTACCAGTGTTTTTTTTAGAAAAGAATATAAAAGTATGTACTCCTGCATTGTATAGGTATTGTTACTCACTGTCGAGTTTTGGAGGCTTGAATCGTGTACAATACAACCAGTCGAACTGCTGTTTATTTTTCTGGTCGGTATCTTCTTCGGTATTCGTCTTTCCGGCTTTATTTAATATGTAATCCACGCTAAATAAAAACATGGGTTTTCTTCTTTGATCATCATCGTTGTGCGTTTTTAATACTTTGTCGTTTTCGGGTGGCTCTGAAGTGTTTAAGTCCATTATAGTAGTTTCGGATTCTGGGATTTTTGATATAATTTGAGGTGTTCGTCTATAAAATAAATGTTTAATATTAAAATAATAAATAAATTAAAGATTAAAATTATCTTATCTATAATTATGTATCCATTATTAAATTTAATGTACCTAATAAAATGTGTTTATAAGAAAAAAATTCAAACCTATTTGAACCTATTTAAATGTACTTTTAATTTATTTATTCAACAAGTATGAATTTAATTACGTTTTGTAGTACATACAAAATATAAACTATTAATAGGTACCGAAATAATTACACATTATGTAAATATCTTTTTTTATTTGTATTAATAATTATGCTGTATTATATATATTGACATATTGTAGGTATTATTAAATAATATCTACCTATGCTTAAATTATTAAAAAAATTGTATTCGTATAATATTTAGGTGTTTTAATAAATTAATGTACAATGTTTTTATATAAAATATATTTACTAATAATAATTACTAATTGGTTCACAAAAACATTAAACAGATTTATCAGAAAATGTTAGATGATATTAGAAAATTAATTGGAAATATATAGAACTTAATGTAACTGGGTGGTTTGAAGTGATAGTATTACTATATGCACCTACGTAGCGCCGGTTCCGAGTTAGATGCTGGCTGATAAACAATTGTAACTTTTAAGGTTGTACAAACTAATAGAATTGTCGAAAACTATAAAGAAAAAAAAACTTGTCTATTCAGCATAAAATATAAGTATTTAGAAATACAAAAATCATATTATTTAATACGAACGTTTGTACTTTGTGTCATTATTATTTATTTATTGCTACTATTTTATTATTATATCTAACCTTATGTTGATTGCATTAAGTAATTATTAATAACATTATTATAAGGTGCTTTTATTTTAATTTAATTTCAATATACGTAGATGCTGCATCTAATCATACTATAATGACGTGGTTACTATGTTTAACAGTTCAAACAACAAGTCTATGTTATTGCAAATTTAAATAATTTTTAATTTGCAGCATCTTGATACTTTTTCAAGTTTATTTTAAACATTTTAGATTAGACAACCGAAATTTCAAACTTAAGAATTAAAGGCATTTTAGTGCAACTCAGATATTTATTATATTCATCATTCAAAACTAATAAAAATTATTAAATAATTAAACGAATTAATATTTTTTATAGAATAAAATGTAAAAAATGATTTCAGATCAAAAATCATATTATTGTAATCACCTTAACTCTATTAACAATAATGTATAATGGTTCTACTTTTTTAATTTTTGGATACAGTGAAAACCAGAATAATAATAAATAAATGTATAATCAATGTAATATATAGTTCTAATAAATCGTATATTTACATGCATCATCTACTTGGTCGAAAAAAATGTATTAATCCAAGAACATAAATGCGAAGTTGCTTAACGAAAAAGTATGGTTTCAAACCAAATTAATTTCATTTGCATATTATGTTTACTTACATTAATTTCAGTTTATTAGCTAATATCTATAATAACTAACTAATGATATAAAATATTTTTAATTTTAAAAGCCAATATTATGACATTTTCGATTATTATTAGTTTTTTTAAAACTAATGTAGATAAAAAATTGTTCACTTGTTCAAAAAGCTTTACAATAAAATACAAGGTTCCTGGTAAGTCATTTTTAATGTAAATTTCAAAAAAAGTCAAGCTTAAATCCACAATAATTTTTATGAAAACATTTAAGTTTGAGTTTCGACAAAATACGTAAAAACCACGTAAATTTGCAAATTATTTTGAGTTAGAAATTCATAAAAAATATTGTTTTTCATCTTAAATTTCAAATTTGAATACAAGATTCCTTAAAAGTCTGTCTACCTTTATAAAAAAAGGGATTAAAATTAAATTTTCATGAGCGTTTGAAGTTTACATTCTTATAAGTTACAACATTTGATATTCGCTCGATTTCTCATGCAACGATCTTCTTATTTTGTTGTAATTCAAAAACAAGAAACTGTAGATAATTGAAATTTACACCATATATTTATTTTATCAATTCATATACTTGATGCTGATAGAAGTATAAGTGGTATAGAATATTAAATTAGGGAATATAATCCAACTATAATATGAATATAACGACTAATGAATACCTATACTTAAACGCCACGACATTATTGACATTAAACACATTACAGTTATTACGTCTAGTTATTATCTGAAGTTATCTAATTATTTGAAAGTAGCAATTTAGCTTTAGGAGGAAAACCTTGTTTTAGTTTTCTATTAAGTTAAATCAGTTCATTATTGTAAATTAAAATTGGCACGTAGCGGTAATTTGATAGCAGATGTCGATGAATATTTATTTATTATTTTATTAATTGCTCAATAAAATACAATAAAATATATTATATGAGCCTTGAATATGAAAACAAATATTTGTCACAAATACGTTGAGTTAAAATATTAAGTACATAGCAAGAACACTTTTTATTACGGTATTAATTTGTACAAATTATGACATACCAAATGTTAATATATTATTATTACAAGATATATGCATATTGTGTTAAACATAAGTTAACAGTAAAACTTATACGTAGGTATGTTTTTATTATAGTCAACTCTTTAAATGGTTGCCCTAACAATATATTGATGACGATTTATGTTGAGTAATTTGTGTTGTCCAAAACAGGAACCGTCAGAAAAAGAATGTTTAGAGCAATACATAAAATATAAAAAAATAATAATATTTAGGTCTTATTAAAATTATTGCTTTAAATGTTAAGGGGTACTTACGGCATATTTTTATAACAATGTAATTATAATATTATTATGATTACCTCTAGTATTTGTTAAAATAATAATAATATTTATGTTTTAATTATTACAAAAATACATTCAAACGATTCAATTTAAGTTTTAATTAATAATAAATATAAATTTCCAAAGTCTAACTAGTATAGTTAATAAATTATGTCTGTATGAAAAATTATTATATGTATGTATTTACCAAACATATTTTTATTGACAATTTTATCATACCTCATTAGTCATTATTATTATTTACTGTTTATGTTTTGAGTGAAAATATTGTTATGTAAAATACAAATTATCATGGTAGATTTTTGACATTCTAAAAAAATTATTTAATTTATTATTATGCAATATACCATAGTTATTATTTGAAACTAATTTATAAATTATCATGTGTAACAATCAACATATGGTTTTAAGGACGCAGCTAAGTTTAAAAAAGACACGCTGGGACGCAAGTTACCCATAAGAGGCAGATATCCGCTAATGCCTTTTCCCGTGAAATTAGAAAAAATACCATTGTTTTTCCTGCTAGTTATAAATTATAGAATTTTAAAGTTAGTACCGATAAAATATTAAAATGAGTTAACTGTAATTTTATCATAACACTTAGTTATCTTATACTGATAACTGTTGATATAATAACAAGTTACACAATATTATGTTCACTAAGGTTTATTTTGATATGATAAATATCTTGCATAATGGGTTTTTATACCCACTTCTTATATACATAACATATATATATATAGGTATCCAATCTGATATCTTATAATAATTTATTCGATTTGTTGTATAATAGTATTGAAAAGTTATCACCGATCAGTTTGTGGTGTATAACTAAGATAGTCACAACAGTCATATCCACAAAACAATTATAAGTAGTAAATGCGAAAATCCACAAATCAAAATCAATATTTTTAAATTTAGTAAAGCATGTGTAGGGAAAAATAAAGTACGTTGGAAATGTATTGACAAAGGCGTCGCAAAAACCAATTTTTGTAGTAAAATATTAAACATCGAAAATACACACAGTCACGATGCTATAAATATAAACACAAATCTACAAATTGCTACATCATGCAAAATAAAAAAGCTAGAAGACAATAAAATAAGTTCACAAGAATTAACATATAACCTAATAACTAATCTATGACCTTTGCTGAACCTTTTTATTTGGACCCAACTTACCTACTGGTTATAATTTTGGACTTAGGAAGTATGCCATTGCATCGGTATCAAGTTGTAACTAAGTAGCAGAAAACGGAATTGTCTTTTGTTGGAAACTTTTGACTCCCAATCAAGCGCATTTAGTATATTTTAAATGTTTAAAACTTTGAAAATTGAGAAAAATAGTTTACTAACAAACATCTTTTTGAAAAAAAAAAATGGTTTATTTTTGATAATTTTTTATTATTATTTGTTTTTCAAATCAACCAAAGCTTAATATTTATTATATACAACGCAATAAAAGTGAACTTATAATTGTGTAAAAAGCAATAACTATACCAATTATTTAATCAAACGAGCTAAGATATATGCGTGTGTACTTTTAAAGTGTTCACCTATGAAAGTTGTCCGTAAAAAGCTCTGGTTTTAAATGCTCTCTTGGTTCAACAAATTTGCTACGTTAAAGATTATAAGATCGACTGTATAATTAAATAATAACAAAATTGTAATTTGTTCAGTTCCTTGTACCCAACTATAGTTAAAATGATATAAATAAACGGATTGTGCTAAAACGAACAAAATAAAATGTATTGCGCGGTCTACGAGAACGAGTGGGAAATTAATTTTTAAAAACTCAGAAAAAAAAATTGAATAGAGCGTGTGAAAAAAATAATAAAAGATGGATGAATAAAAAAAAATTGTTGAATAAAATTGCGTGTGGAACAGTGACTGACTGCCGACTTACCCGTGAACTGGTAGGTGACACAAAACCGGCGAGCATGAAATTCGGTTGACGCGCGTGTTGTCGCGGTGACTGGTAGCGGCTGCAGCAAGCCCCGCGGAGACGTTTAGCGGAGACGGTCTAGATGGCTACTGACCGCCGTCGCGGTGGTGCAGATAACACAGAAATCGGCCAAAGATAAATGCGTTACCGAAAAATAAACGAGTGTGCACACACGAATAAAATGTATACATTTTTTTTTTCGACTACCACCACCACAACCGCCGCCGCCGCCGCCGCCGCCACCACCACTTTGGTTCGCCGCTCCCGCGGGGGGATCCGTTCTCGTTTCGAAGAAGGGTAGTGGACGAGGCATTGTGCGTGTGTATTATGGTAGGTAGGCAGGTAGGTGCGGTCTACAACAACCACACGCCGCCGATGATATACAATATAATAATATTATGTACTACCGTATACGCGACCGGGTTAATTAAGCGGAAATTTTCTATTAACTTGTTGCCGCATCCCCGTGTGTGTACGCACACGCACACACACACACACACACACACACACACACACGCCGACCAAACCAGTTTACAGGACGGAATAATAAGAATTATTATTATAAAAGTCTCCGAGCCGCCGCCGCTAAGAATTGGCCATCGATATCCGATGCGTTTTTGTTTATTTTTCAATAACCATGCTTCAGTGGCTGTTGGGTATACTTACCCACACACACACACACACACACACACACACACACACACACACACAATACACGTTTAAAATATGTTCTCCGAGGAAGTTATATTGTATCGTCTTTGCACTGCCGCTACCGAGTGTCTATTATCACACTCGTGATATAAACGCTTACCCGAAATAGGCTAAGCCTGAGACGTTTCCTACGTTTTTCTCATTCACACTTAGATATTACAGATATTACCTACATAATAATATAATATGCGAAAGAGACAGATCGTCGATCGCGAAAATATTACGCAGAAACAACGCTGTGGGTCGCCGTTTTTTACGGGGGCAGTGATGAATTATTTACACTGTCATATTATTATTCGCCTAATCGTGGTATTAAATTTACCGAAAAACCACGTTAGGTACACCGGTTTTCATTTGTTTTTTTTTTGTTTTTTTTTTTTGTTTTCACATTACGATTAGGATAGTTATTAAAATATTCAAGATTTAGGTTTTTTTACTTTGTTCATAGTCGGCACGAACAAACACACATCTCAATAAGGTAGACAAAGAATAGCCGCCTGTTCATACCGAAGACTTCAACAAGCGTTATGAACGGATCAGCGGTTTTTGAAAGGAACGGCTTACTAATATTTTAATATTTATAACATTATATCGTATGTCACGTCTCAGCTACCAGATTTCTCGTAAAATTCATCGTTATTATTATTCGTTTCATTTTACACGACTTTTGATTATTATACAGTTGTGGCGGTGTCAGTAGGCACGAAATAACATACGGGAAATAACGTCTTCAATTCGTTTTCCGTTCAGTTAGTGAATATGTTGAATACAGTTGGGGATGCAATGAGACGAAGACTATTAATATTATTAATCTATTCGTACTATTCGTGTACACCTACGTCGAGTTCTTCTTAAAACTTTTTGAATGGGCATGAGTCATTATTATTATGAAGCGAACCGCGTAATTTTGGTATTTAAATCATTTCAATATTTCATGAATAATAATAACTATTTATAATGTTATAGAGTTATGTGTCTAATACTATTGTCTAGACACTATCTGTAGAGAGTAAAAAATAATGCATAAGCTGTGTATAGCTATAAATAGTTATCATAAAATGTATACTCAAATAAAATTATTGAATTAATAGCTTAAATACAAATGAAACCATGAAAGACAAAATATTATTCTAAATTAGTTTTACAAGCAGTTATGTGTTTTAAATCATTTTGTTGTCATAATCTATTGCAGAAGTGTTCTAAAAGACTGATCCTGAATTACATAAACCAAGCTACAAAATGTAACCATACGTGCTTAGCTGCTCATTAACTATATCATTAAACAATTTTGCAATAGCAATATTTAAAATACAGAAAACTTGAAATGATTTAAATTTAAAACTTCAATGAGAAAATGTCATACTTTATACGTTTTTCAAATTGCATGTCATGTTTAAAACCGGTTTGTTCAAATTTGATACTCACCACCCACGTTTGGAACAGTTGCATTATAAATTAAAAAGAGTAGCTGATTAATGATTTTAGTTGGTAGGTACGTCAAACAAATTAGCACTTATACAAAATGCAATGGAAATTTACAGTATTCCAAACTGTATTATACAAATTAAAATAATTAAGACATTTTGATATACTACAATAATTGTTAATTGTTTGCTGCATGCATTACGTGTTTGTTGTATGTCAGTAATATTTGTTCTAAACGATTTGAAAATTGAAAAGCTGTAGCCTAGCTGTAACGCTTTTTACCTATTTATAATATACAGTTATTCTTCACCTATACGGAAAACAAATCGGAAAAAGTTCTGTTTTATATTCTGACTTGAGTAATGAATGGCCAGATGCGGGGAGAAATAAACCCGGGCCCACTGGTAATACCTTGGGGTCTTACTATTTTTAACCACCTATCAATCTGAGCCAGGGGGTGGGGTACAGCCTCTTGTCAGGCCAGTGAAAGAATTCCAGTGTGTAACTGGAATTTTATTCAAGGAGGTGGGGCATGAACTACAAATCTATTATTATGGTAATATAAAAAAAAATAATTTATATTTTATAAATAATATGCAATAATTGCAATAATTACCATCACAGGATCTAAAATTCAGAAAAATACTATATAGTTTACCGCCCATCGCTATAGAAATAATCAAATCAATTTTACAACTATCCTACAAATAAAAATATTTTTTTGATTAAATCGACATTTGATACTCCCCAAGGGGGTGAGGTGGAGGCCACCCCTTTTGTGAGCCACAGATCAATAGTAGGCACCTATTGGTTTTGTGGTGAATGTTTTTTTATTTACTTGTTTATTTTATGCCTGTCGTCACATTCTTGAGCAGAAGAGCAGAAAATTCCATATAGATACTTTTCAAAATAATCATAATCTAAAGTTAATAAAAAATAGCAGTAAAACGATATTTACTTGGTGCGAGAGTTACTTTTGGTGGTCGACAGTCAATTGTGTTAAAACTACAGATTGTATTTGATGTACCGATAATAAAGATAAAAAATATCGAATATACAAAATAATGCATTTAAAATTTTAAAAATTCTCTTCAAATCAACCATTTTTATTATTTGAAATTATCATCTTATTGAAAAGAATACGCACCTATAATTTTATGTTCATATCTATTAAAATAAATATGTATTTAATATATAGCTTGGTGCAGCTATTAGTTAGGTTAGTTACAAATAATAATAAAGCAAAATTTATTTAGACTGCTTTAAAATAAAACATAATTTAAAAAATTTAGGTAAAAATTGAGATTGATGGAAATTGTTAGAAAGACCATTAAATGCATTAAAAAGAAAAACAAGGACCTTAAAAATCTGCAACGAAAATTTCTAAATTAAATTCATCAATTGTATTGTTATATAATTGAAACTTTTTATTGGGAAGCCTCAAAATAGGCTTAATTAAACTACAAAATCACAGAAAAAATGATAACCAAACTAGTAATTTTATTATCACCAAAGCACTCAGCACTTTCATAATCTTACAAAATAAAAACAATTATCAAAATCTATTTGTCATGACTACTGCAGCTATGTTTGCATTAACACAACCAATGTATAGTTAACATAGTATAAAAAAATGTTGAAATAGCTAATCATTCGTTGTTCTTTATTTACCATGTTCTACGTTAATGGTAGAATCATTGATCATTTTTCATAAAATTACATAATTTATTATCTACAAATAATATTACTAAAAGTTGCACAATAGCCAAAAACTCAAATACTAGGTGGCCATTAGGACTTAGCGGTCCTTTTGTTGATGATTAGGGCGTGCAGCTGCATTCACTGCACGCCCCGTTGCTCCGCCTATTAAGAGAATGATAACAGAACTGCGATAATAGGTACTACTGCAGGTCTGTAAATTCAAAAATATGATGACATTAATATGCTTGTCATAAGGTATAGATGCTGACTCGAAGTCTCAGAATTTTATCAACATTAAGAACTTGTAGGACTTAGTGATAATTTATTAGAGAATTTAATGATAATACATATTAAATTCTGGGAAGAGCGATGAATGTTGGTATTGGTTTTGCGATGGTCTGTGCTTTTTTATTTTGTGCCATCACTCTTAACTCTTTTGAGCAGAAATATTTTTGATTTTCAACTTCATGGGTGGAAAATTTGATCTAGTTGCCAGTTGGTGCCTATCAAAGATTAAAAAATTGAAAAGTTTTTTCTCAAATTAAAGGGAAAAAAGCAGTTAAGTGTTGTTAGTGTAACGCAGTACATTAGATGTATAAATTTCAAGAGAGTTACTGTAAAGAGTTATAATTCAATGATATAAAATCATTGCACACAAAAAATGATCCTGAGCGAAAACAGTCTTTCAGCCTATAATATTAGAAAATAGGTATATTTTATGATATTGTTGTGATTAATGTAATTTATTTTAATATATTATAAGGCATTAGCACTACAGTACCTAGGTTAAATTCATTTTCGTCAAAATTACTATAATTTTTGTTTTGTTTATCCCAGCGCTTTTTTAAACTACTAGGGATTTTAAATGTTGACTTACTTAATGTACACTTACTTAAGGATATTAAATCTGCATAATTTTCACAAAAACGTGCTGCTACCTCTTGCCACTTAAAGTTGTTATACTTTCCTATGGCAGCTTTCTATAAATAATCCTAAACTTTACACGTTGATCTACATATTATTTTCATTGTAAAATCCTTATTGTCCAATTAAATAGATTAATTATTTTTCTTATGATAAAATAATGAATATAAAATAACTTTGACAAGTCTGAAGTCAATAATAATGTCTGTACAACGATAGTTGTACTATTAGTAGGTATTAGGTGCTGTCTCGATTGAATGTCGTCCATACTCGACGATAACTGAGGAGAAAACATATGGTTTCACCAAAAAAAAAAAACAAAACCCAAACCCAATACTCCGTTGAAAACCAGACATTTCATTGATGAGTCACGAATAAAAAC